CATGAATTAATTTATTCCCTCTTTCATGCAAGTCCTGGAGATGCTTAGAATTTCTTGGTGTAAATGCAATCTAAAGCAGCAATTATTGTCAGTGAAGAGCAATATCTACTAATAGGCACAAATGCTGGCAGATGCCATGTGGATTATTACATTCATCAGTAGTTCTCACCTGCTAGACACATACAGCAGGGAAAAATTATACTAAATGCAAATAATACAATGAAATTAATCATGTATATCTACAGCAGTTAAATAAATAGACTTATTGAACATTTCCTATTTTTTTTGTTGTTGATGATAAAGGTTGTGTCCAATCAAACTCGACAGTATTTTGGTGCAAATGCTGTTACTTGATAAAAGCTTATCAAAATAGGCCAGTGTTATTTTAATATCACTGATATGAAATGTGTCAACATACAACAATGCAGTGCAATTCCCACAATTATAGGCATTTAATTCAAAGCCTCAGAGGTGGAAATCACTGCATCAACCCTAATAATACAGACAAGTCCAATGATTTATTTGGACTATGTCCTCCGAGAATTGCATGTCATCTCTAAAATGTACCTTTTCTCCAAAGACACTGGTCTTCTTCACTGTTTCCACTCTTTCAGTCCAGGTGAGATGAGTTAGTGTCGGGCAGGTGGTCGTCTGGTGCTGCCGCTGCTGTGTTTCTGAGGCCATTTCATGCCTGGCTAGGCCTGCTTTGTGGCCCAATTCTCCTAATCTGGAAATAATTATTGTGGGATAACCCATCTGCACTTTCACAAAAATGGGCCAAGGGTGTGGTCACTGCTCTGGAGGGACGAAAAGAGAGGATATAGAGAAATAGTGCTCATGAAGGGAAGTGTTTAATACTATTCTCAACTAGGGATTGGAACTCTTTTTAATGACTTTTCACAGTGTTTTTAGAAACAGAATAAATGTGTATCTTCAACTACACTTTGTCCTATGAACAACTGTTAATCTACAACAATTTCAGTTTCAGTTGTATGAGTTTGATTCACTTCAAAGAACCTACTCAGAGTCATTAATTTGGGAAACCGACTACACTGGTTATACTTTGATTCACTAAAAAGAACCGGCTCATTAGAGCCATTTGTTCAGGAATTGGACTACTTTGTCGCACTGCATCCGTTTGATTCACTACAAAAACCCGAGTCACATTCGTTCAGAAATCGGACTACGTTGGTTCATCATCCGTATGATTCACTACAAAGATCTAACTCAGAGTAATTCGGTAATCAGACTACACCAGTTGCACTGCATACATTTGATTCATTAAAAATAGCCGACTCATACAGTCAAGTCAGGAATCGGATTGCATTGGTTTAGCACATAGACTGCATAAAAACATGGACATAGTGTCCGTGACGTCACCCGTAGGTTTCTGAAGAGCGTTTTTGAAGCTCAAAGTGGGCGGAGCTGGTCGTCGCCATCTTGGCATTGCGACACCACGTGTCACCTCTGCAGGACACCGGCCCTCCAGGACCGAGTTTGGGCACCCCTGATATAGACCAAAACCACTTTTTGTACCAGGCTGTAAACATATTTTTTTCTGCTGTAAGTTGGCCATTTTAACATGGGGAGTCTATGGGACGGACTCCCTTTTGGAGTCTGCCTCTAGCGGCCAGTCGATGAATTGCAGTTTTAGTCACTTCCGTGTTGGTTTCACGAGAGAGACCGGAAGGTTGCCGCTTGGGGTTTAGCAGCATCAATTCCCTACAAAGACTCATTACAATCATTCGTTCGGGGGACTAGTTGCGCTGCATCCATTTGATTCACTACAAAGATCCGACTCATTAGAGTAATTCGTTCCAGAATCATCAGACTACAGTGGAAGCGCTGAATCCATTTGATTCACTACAAACATGACTAATGAACAGGCCTCATGACTAATTATTTCAGTAATCAGACTACACTGGTTACTTTTTTTATGTCACACTATTGAAAAAAATATTGCAGAAAACACTGTCCGCATCGGCGGAAGAATGCACACGTGACCCTTGAGAATGGTTAACGGAACCGAATGTCCGGTATTTTATTTTTAGACTGAACTGTTCTAAACATGAAATGTCGATTACAAATAAATATTCTTATTCACATCAAGAGTGCTTTACAAAATAGTTCTTATAAATGAATAAAAAGAACGATTACTGCGTTTCAACTCCCGTCTAAATGCTTACAGTCAGAAGATTCCCGTTCCCGTACAAAAGCAGGGAAATATCAGGCACATATTCAGAGGTTGAGTAGCAGGTGTGGCACATCAACCAAACCCAAAGAACTGAACAAAAGCAGATATGAAAGCCAATCTCCCCTCCACAATGCCCGAGTGATGTTTGCGGCAGATACAGACTAAAGAGGAACAAAAACGATCGTGCGGCATTCAAGGGCTCATATTATAGCCTACATGATTTCGGTATTTTACTGTTTATGTGACCACTTTCGACTCGCTTTCTTGGAGCCCTAGAAGTTTTTAGGTGCAGTAGTTAAAATGCTCATTCAATGTAAAACAGCCTCTTAACATACGAAACCAAAAGTATTTGATGCACTTATTGCTGTCAGATCCATTGGTTTTAACTGTCCCATTTAAAAAAATTATTGGACTGGAACTGTTTGCTGACCAACGCACTTTATTGGCATTGATGGCTCCAACTTTAACATCCATGCACTCTTAAAAATAAAGGGGTTTTCGCAACAATGCCATAAAGAACCATTTTCCACTATAAAGAGCCTTTTAAATGATAAGTTCCATGGATGTTAAAGGTTCTGCATGGAACCAAAGATGCATTAAAGAAACTTTATTTTCAGAAGCTTTCTGATGCAATAAAAAGGTTCTTTAAAGTGGTATAAGGTTCTCCAGATTCTTAAAATGTTCTTTACACTGTTTTAAGAAATGTTCACTGAAAGGTTCTTTGAGAAACCAAAAACGTCATCGCTGTGAAAACCCTCTATTGGAGCCTTTACTTTTAAGAGTGAATGGCAAGATGAAAACATATTGGAAAACATTCAGTTGACACCTTTATTTGTCCATGAATAAAGTGTACAGTCAAAATATTGCAGAATAGCCAACTTTATTCAATAACAAATTTGATTCGAGCACACAATGAGATCATTTCACAACATTCATGACATTCGTGCATTAAATATTGACTTTTCTGTGTGCTCACCGTCCGCCAAATGGCTTCAATCACCTCTCAATGTTTATATTGCAATATAACATTCAACATTGATGCTCAAATGAAGTTGAACGATTTGCCCCATTTGCAACAATCTGGCTTTTGCTGATCCAGAGTGACTGGTCAAAAGAGCCTGCGAATAAAGCCAATTACTCCTGTGTACTCTGTGTACGGTGACGCATTGTTCATGCACAATGCGCTCTTGGGTCACAATGGAAATCATGGACGCTTTGTGCGGCTGAACAAAAGTGGCATCATTTGCTGACCCTTTTCAACTCTTGTTTGCAGGTGCCTTTTATGGCGGACTCTTTCAGGAAGGAAGATCCTCTCGCATTTTATCTGAAAAGTGCCAGAAATGCTGCCGAAAACCATTGTTAGGGACATTTCCCAATGCTCATTGTTTCAATGGCTGTCAGAGGGAATCAAATTAAACTTCATTAACAAAGGCCATAACTGCTTCGTCCGATGCAGTGGAGAGGCCCTCTCAATGTGGGGATTTGTATCCTTATCTTGGCCCTTCCAATGCTGTGTTTGCACCTCGCCATGCAACGCGAGCCCCCAAGCCAGCGGGGGATTCCTTTAAGCAGAGCGACCTTGCACCTTCACAATATTGTGTTTCTCTTGGCTCGTATTCAGCAGTCACTTAGTGTTTTGTAAGATTTCGCCTGCATCCTTTCTGGCAGAACTGCAAGGTCAAATAAAGCACCTCGAGCGATGCAGAGAGCTCCTCATTTGTGCCGGCGTGACCTTTAAATCCTAGGTTGCTTCCACTGTCACAGACTGTGCATTGGGATGTGTGAAGATAATAGCAGGGCTGTGTCAATGGATGGGCCCCCTGTGTGGGCCCTTGGCCCTTGATGGGCTCTCCAAGGTTTGGAGCTCTTATATCCTATTAAGTGTGCTAATAGTGTGCCTACTAACCGTATAATTAGCAAAATACTACATTAAAGCTGCTTTTGGGCAACATTAATTTTTTTACTTTGTATTTTTGTCTTTTCCAATAGAAATATTTAAACATTCTTAAATCAAGATACTTTTACTTGAGAAGCAAAATTATGTCATCAAAATGTCATGTGTTTTGAAAAATGTGTCAGAATTAAGTGAATTTTTGCTTAAAACAAGAAAATCTGCTGAGATCATATAATAATCGTTTTTCCCTTTGAATTAAGCGTATTTTTTTTCCTGTTTTAAGTAAAAACTTACTTAATTTTGATACATTTTTCAGATAACAAGACCAGGCTTTATTATAGTTATTATAGTATTATAGTTAAAACCATTAAAGGGGTCATATGATGCAATTTAAAATTTTCCTAACTACTTTGTTTGGTCTTCCAAAAGAGGACAATATCCGCTTCGTCATGCCTGGAGCTGATCCGTGCTGGTCGCTGAGGAAATACATCAACAGTGCTGTGGATCGCCGGATTGGCTTTCACCGTGGACGAAGAGGAGTCCAGCCCGAGGTCGTCACATGTGGTTGCCGCAAGCCCGCCGGATGCTCCTTCGTCGAATTCGCCGGCCGCGCCGTTCTCAAGCCCGCCAGCCGCCGCTCACACAAGCCCGCTGTGTGTGAGACACTGTGCATTTTGTTGTGAAAGCGAAACTACTTTGTTTGGTCTTCCAAAAGAGGACACAACTAGAAATCAGTGGTTAAGTTGTATTTACAACACTGTCCCAGAACAGTTCAACCCAAATATTCAGATGTGTGCAGCGCATTTTATGGAGGACTGTTTCCTGAACCTGGTAGAGTAGACTACAATGCATCTCTGCACAAAGGCTGTTTCTATAAAGTGGGGCAGTTCCAACTTTGCAAGGACAGTCTGGCACTTCTGACTCACAGCCTGTAAGTACGTTTTCATATTTAAAGGATTTGCCACTGACGATTCAAACGTGAGTTTTGGGCAGTGTAGAGTAGCGCTTGTTGTTTGTCGTTTCTCCGATCACAAATGCAGACATGGTTTTATGTTTACGCGGCGCGATGCAATGCAACGCAACATGTAAAAAGACAGTATAAGTCATTATAATCCGTAATTATGTCCCCACTGGATGCAACGAATGCCTCGTTTGTAATGGGTTTTTAATGTTTTTGTCTCATCGCTTCGGGACACGGCATCACAGTATGGTAAGGGACATAACATTTCCGTCACACGCTTGAGGAATTCAGCCAATCACAACGCACTGGATAGCTGGCCAATCACAGCACACCTCGCTTTTCAGAACGATGAGCTTTGTAAAAATCAACACGTTTCAGAAAGGCGGGACATAGAGGAGCAACAATAATGTACATTATGAGGAAAATTATTTTTTGAACCTTAAACCGCATAAACACATTTCATTACAGCAAATACACAACATAATGTTTCTTTTTAGCAACATCATATGACCCCTTTAAATTTTGGGTTTGCTAAGAAAAGCATCAGTCTCATTCGCAGAGTGTTACAAGCTCTTGGTGCATAAAGAAGATCTGTAAAGTTGTGAAGACTTAAGTCTCAAATCCAAAGAGATATTCTTTATAAAAGTTAAGAGTCAACCACGCCTACCTAAAACAGCTTGTTCTAACACGCCCCCATATGTCTGTCACGACGTGGGAAGATTTGCATAACGCCGCCCAAATGTTCACGCAAAGAAAGAAGGCGTAACTTTTATTCTCGCTGTAGTATTGTTGCTGCCGCCATATCGTGAAGGCGCTGTGTATTTCGTTGTGAAAGCGAAACTACTTTGTTTGGCCTTCCAAAAGAGGACAATATCCGCTTCGTCATGCCTATCTGCTGATCCGTGCTGATCACTGAGGAAATACATCAACTTCCTGCTGTGGATCGCCGGATCGGCTTTCACCGTGGACGAAGAGGAGTCCAGCCCGAGGTCGTCACATGTGGTTGCCGCAAGCCCGCCGGATGCTCCTTCGTCGAATTCGCCGGCCGCGCCGTTCTCAAGCCCGCCAGCCGCCGCTCACACAAGCCCGCTGTGTGTGAGACACTGTGCATTTTGTTGTGAAAGCGAAACTACTTTGTTTGGTCTTCCAAAAGAGGACACAACT